TGGATATACTGGGCTTGCTGTCGGATGACGAAGAAAGTGTGGCTGCTGAGAACGCGCGACGCTCGCCAGCTCGCAATAAGCAGCTTGACAGCAGCATCAGCAACCGCGTTGCTAACGGCTGTGTGGTGCGCCGCACGCTCCTCGACGGACCGTACTACGTGGAGACGCGTGTGTACACCACCGAGGACGCGCTGACGACGTCGCCTGAGCTGTTAGCTCATGGTCTGCAAGCCTTATTACAGATAAACATAATCACTGGTATACCAAAGAACTGATCACAAATAATGCGAAACTTTGTGTGGATGTTTAGATGTATGTATGTTTGTTACTCTTGGCGTTAATAGTTAATGACGATCTGTGATAAACTGAATTCCACGCGGGTGAAGCCACAGGCAAAAGCTAGTAAAGCATAAATCAGTGATGTTTGCAATTCCAGTGATTTTACGATGTATGTGAGGAATTCTGACTTTCTCAGTATGGTATTTGTGCATTACAAATGTTTTTTTTTTCTGCAGGTCTGATTCAGAGTTAGAATTTTTCGAGCCTGAACGCAAACCAAAGACGAAGCGAAAGTCTGCGAGTAGATCCAAAGAGTCTATCAGGTAAGCAAGTGTAGATATAAGCACATATATACATACACACCTTTCATTATTATGTGTTTTTTTGTACTTGTTTTGTTTTTAAATGTAGATTCATTTGAACAAACGATGAGAGGTTCTTATGTAGTTGTGAACGAGACTATTTTGCAACGTAAATGTACGTAAATGTGTATATTAATACAGCTTGTTTATGTTACAGAGCTGGTTCTTCTAAGAAACCCAGACACACAGGGAAGCTCCAAGAGACGTTGGATATACTGGGCTTGCTGTCGGATGACGAAGAAAGTGTGGCTGCTGAGAACGCGCGACGCTCGCCAGCTCGCAATAAGCAGCTTGACAGCAGCATCAGCAACCGCGTTGCTAACGGCTGTGTGGTGCGCCGCATGCTCCTCGACGGACCGTACTACGTGGAGACACGTGTGTACACCACCGAGGACGCGCTGACGACGTCGCCTGAGCTGCGCTACACCAAGGCTCTCGTGACCAGTGGCGGATTAACGTATAAGCACTACAAGCACGTGCTTGGGGCCCCTGTTCTCCAGGGGCCTCCATCCTGGCGCGCCAGCAGAGGATGTTTCATTTTATACCTACATTTTATCGAGATTTAGCCTATGTTACTCGTGAGTAATGTAGCTTTCAAATGGTGAAAGAATTTTTAAAAACGGTCCAGTAGTTTTTGAGCCTATTCATTACAACCAAACAAACAAAGTTTTCCTCTTTATAATATTATAGAGTAGATAAAGTAAAGTGCGTTTTCCCAAATATACAAGTGGCGTTTAAAGAAAGAACGAAAGAAAAATTTATTACGATGAACATCACTTATACATGACAGAGAAAAAGACAGAAATGGCACATAAATATTACAAGGAAATAAAAAGTGAACTGAGCAGTGAGCAGTGTGTAACGGTTAGCGTTACCGCTGACGTTATCTTAGATCTAAATTCTACTTTAATTACTATTATCTACCTAAATAAATAAACTTAAATAATAATATATCTAAATCTACGTAAACTACCTAACTAAATAACTTAATTAAATTATTCATATTGTTCTACACTAATTAAATAAATAAAATNATGAATGAAGACATTCTATTAAAATAAGTACTTTTTTATCCTAAGTAGGTATATTTAAAATGTTATTTTTACAAAGGTAAAATAACACTAATACTTACCTACATATACGTACCTCATTACAAATACCTAAGTAGATTAATTCTATTTTTTCACTAGACAACATAGCAACCCTAGCAGCGTAAGAAGAGTTCAGAGGCACGCGATAGAAAGAGACAAAACTTGTAGGTGAATAAAACTGTAGGTACGTATTGCTGTGCGAGCTGAATTCCACTGTATCGCGTCGTAGCAAGACTCGCATTTATTTAAATCGTCTTGCGGAGTAATCCTTCTGTACCTGTACTATTACTTATTCTGTGGTAATACTTAATAATTTTAACATTTTACTCGAGTGCTAGGTAAATATAATTTAATTTTACTACTGTAAGTAAGTAAGTAAGTATTATAAAATGCCTTTTTGTTCTGATTGTTCATTACAAGTAGGGAACAGACGGTGGGTAGGGCATCTAAGAAGTAATAGACATAGGAATAGTGCTTCGACTCAGAAGGCTAACGTTGATGGTGTTGTTGAATTTGCAACAGCTTTCCGTGGTCGAATCGCTTCTTATCTAATAGTTGCTACAGAGGAATTTGAGAACGCCTTACCTGATACATTTTTACAAAGTATCTATTCTAAAGTTAATAATATTTTGCAGATCGCTTTGAAGAAACATATAAGCGTAAAGGTAAACTTTGAATATTATGCTAGTTTTCTTTTATTTAAGAACAATGTTCGCGAAACAAAGTCCTTTACTACTAAGAATTTTATCGTTCATCGCAATTTTAATTACGATAAAATGTTTTTAACACTTGTAAGTACTATTAAAAAAAAGGTAGAAGAATTTGAAGAGCGTGACAGTGGCTGGACTTTCTTAAGTAGCATATCTTTAGACGTTAACGTTAACAAATTCGATCCTTTAAGAGGGTCTGGATCAACTTATGTTGACCTACCTTTAGTGATTAAAAAGAAAAAAGCATGTATTAATATTCGAAATAAGGATAAACATTGCTTTTTGTGGAGCGTAGTCGCTGCACTTTATCCTGTTAAAAAGAACAGCGAAAGGACTTCTTCCTATCCGCATTATAAAAAGATACTTAACATTAAAGACATGTCCTTTCCCGTAACATTTAATGATATACATAATTTCGAAATCAATAATTCGAATATAAGTATAAACGTTTATTCATTAAAAAATAACCGTACTGTAGTTGGTCCTATTTACAGATCAGATTTCANGGTTTTGAGCACAAGTAAAATAGGTTTTGTCGAGGTCTGCTAGCCGTGTTCTGGTCTAACTCGAGCTCACGCAATATAGTTAATTGACAGACGCTCACACACTTAAAACACTCACACACATTTTTCTTCAGTAACATTTATTAATTTATAGAATTGGGCTCTTAAACCAATGAATATTTACTGCTTCTGTAAACGAGTAGTGTAGTGTGTAATACTTAATAATTTTAACATTTTACTCGAGTGCTAAAGTAAGTATTATAAAATGCCTTTTTGTTCTGATTGTTCATTACAAGTAGGGAACAGACAGTGGGTAGGGCATCTAAGAAGTAATAGACATAGGAATAGTGCTTCGACTCAGAAGGCTAACGTTGATGGTGTTGTTGAATTTGCAACAGCTTTCCGTGGTCGTATTTTATAGGTACGATTGGATGCTTATAAATAGTTATTGTAACAACTTTAGTAGAATTTAGAAACCCATTATTAAATTAAAATACTTTATTTGATTACTTCCTGGACATGTTACAGATATTAGAACGATTTTTTTAATTAATTCTGTATTGTATTCGATTATCTCATATTGTTTAATTTACATTAATCTTAGAATTTTTATTGTATACAATTTGCTATTTTAGAAATAAAAATAAACTAAATTAATAATTAGGTAATGCAATTGACTACTTCCGGGGCATGCCGTCGATAAGTCGTTTGACTTTGACGAATGGAAGGGGAAGCTACCTTTTTGCTGGCATGCCACCGGACAGGCAGTTCGATTTGAGCTTTCAAACAAGATGTACTTATTAGTAAGAAGTAACGTTGAAATTATTATTGTTTAAATCAGTGGTGTAGAAATACATACTTGAACAAGTCTTCGATTGGTTATTATTACACATAGAGGTTACGAAAACGCGGTCCATCCTTATGTAACAATAAACTGATAACCAAATTAGTCTTCCCACAGTTTGATGGACCACACACAATACAGCGTAGGTATAGTATTTGACAGTAAATTCCCGTGACGCTTAGCCTCGTTCGATGCTACAGGACAGATGCATTCTAATTTAAGTGTTTCCTTTTGTTTCAGAAATTTCATAGCAGAATTTTTAACTTGACTGTCGTGATCGGTGGATTTTAAGGAACTGATGACAATATACTCACGCCGATGGTTAAAAGATGTAGTTCGAAAAATGATCATAGTATTATGTACCGTACATTATTTATACTGAAAGCATCTTTCGGATGATATTATGTATTTCTCCATTGCTAACCATCGAATGTGACATCCATCACTACTGACATGGGACGTTACACTGACCTTTATCTAAAAACAGATGTATTATTGTTAGCGGATATATTCGAAAATTTTAGAAAAGTTTGCAAGTCGAACTATCTTTTAGAATAGAATAGAATAGAAAGTTGTTTATTTCCCTGGTTTATATGTTACATTATAGATCCACAGGCCAGTGGTGTGTTCAACCTATGGGTGTGTCAGCTACTTACAGTCTACTTATGTTTGCTCTCGCTCGAGTTTCGGTTTTATCGCGTTCGTTGAGTGTAGTCGTGTGCAGCAGTGTGGCTCCGCGGAAGCGTCGTAGACCCTCTGCCCGACTACTACCCGCGCGCGAGCCGATCCGCCGCGATACCCTCCGCCACCTTTGCCCGAGCCACCCAGCCGCGCCGCAGCTCGTCTCCGCAGAAGCGTCGAACCCGTCGCCGCGCCCTCCAGCTCGGTGCGAAGCAGCACCACCGCGTCGCGCGCCCGTCTCCGCCGTAGGCGTTGAGAGTCCCGCCGTCGCGAGTGCGTGTGCGAGTGTCGAGAGCGATATCGCCATCTCTCTCTCCCGCGAATTGGACGCATCTACCCGCGACAGAGACGCTTTTTGTGTTGTGCCGTGCAAAAAGAGTGCAAGTGAATAGGCTGACATCGAAGGGTACCCACCGAATATTTGCAAAAATATCACGGAGGTACTCGTTCACCGCGACTACCCTCACTAAAACTTTTTATTCGTCGACCCGCGAATATCGCGATATACCGACATCCTGCAGTCCTGCATAATGTCGGACGGCGAGGAAGTGCCGCCCCCACAGCGCCAGCCGGCGTACAGGCCTCTTGCGAGGCCCGCTCAGCCCGCAGCCGCCGCCACGAGCGGCCAGCCGAGGCAGCGCCCGGCCGCGCTCAGCCGCGAGCCGACCGCAGCGACCCAGCAAGGGCCCCCCGCCCCCCTCCCCGGCCGCGACAGCCACCGCCGCCCCAGACACCACCCGGACTCCTCAGAGGGATCGCTCTCCGAGGAGAAGAGACCCAGAGTCGGGCCCTCGCCGAAGCAAAGGGCATCGACACCGGAGCCTCAAGTCTCGCCGATAGAGAGGTATGTCCCGGGATACCGCGGGGAAAACACCCTGCGAACCCCTACCGCATCACCGGTCAGGTCCGCCTCAGCGCCCGCATCTCCATCAGCCCACGGCTCCTCGGCCTCGGCCCGTTTCTCCTCGGAGGGCCGATCAGGCACGACAGCCGAAGGCAGCCAGCCGAGTGGGACTCTGGCCCCCCAGGTGGTCTCCGACGAGGACTACCTGGACTACGTAGCTCCTCGGCCGGCCTCGTCTAACTCCACGGCCCCAACGTCCTACGCGGCGTTGAACAGTCCCGCGCGGACGTAAGCCGCGACACTGAATGCTCCCCCTTCCCCCCAGGACGTCCGAACGGCCCCCTAAGGCCAAGACTGCCCACCATGAGCGCCCAACCGCGGCGCACGAAGCGGCGCAACCCCCCCGCGCAGAGGGGCCACCCCGCCCACCACAACTACCGCACGGCACCCACCAACTGCCGACGCCCCACTACGGGACGCTGGCCCCCCCGGCGAACGGCCCCACGGACCGCACAGCCCAACTCCCGCCCCAACCCAAAAGGCGCAACAATAGGAGGCGTAGAAGGAAGCGCCACCAAACTACATCCCAGTCCCCCAAAAAGGGGCACGGAGAAGGCGAGCACGCGCCCACACCGCCTCAACAGCCACCCCTGCTCCAAGGGGCTCAGAAGCCGAGGCCACCAGCTCTGGCACCAAACCCGCCTGCTGCCTTGCAGCGGCCCCCCCCTGGAGCATACCAAGAATGCTGCAGATGCGGTACATCCAACGGCAACCGCCAGCAGCACCTCACGGCCCTTTGGAGGCCACCCGCCCAGCTGGCGGGCACCCACGCACCTGCGCCCGACACGAGCGCAAGACCCCCGGACGCAAGCGCGCCCGTATGCGCCCGTCTCCCTTCCCAACTGCGGCCCAACAATGGCCGTCAGCGCCGCCTTCGCAGGCCTCAGGTGCGGAGCACCCAAACTCCCTTGCCCCCCTCCTACACATGATGATCCAGAACCAGAGGGTCATAATGTCCCTCCTAGCAGCCCTGGTGAACGGAGGAGACGTGAGGGGGGCAACGATCCAAGGGATGGAGGCCCCGTACCAACCACACCATCCATGCCACTAGACGGCCTACGTGTCCTGTACTGGAACCCGGGGGGCATCAGAAACAGGACACAGGAGCTCCGTCTTCTCGCCCAGTCGCAGGACCTGCACGTAATCCTCCTGGGCGAGACCATCCTAACCCCAGCGTACTCACTCAAGGTCCCGAACTACCTATAATTGTCGTGTAACCCGAATCTGTATGTGTCGTGTAATGCGTGCTTTGTGCTTATTAGTGTGTAGTTACAAAATAAATTTATATAATTTTATAATGTTGTTTCGTATTGTCCTATCCTTAACTATAATCTATGGGGACGAGGAGCAGTTGCTCGCTTGCTGAGCAGCCGACTCCTGTCTTTTTTTGGTACATAATTTATTTCACCTAATCTAGTGTTAGTCAGGAGAGGATTGTGTTGTCCGTATCTGAAATAGGCGTCTCCAGGGGTCTCTAGATCCTCGATGTGCATTTCGTCAAGTCGGCGCAGCATGTCCTCATTCAGATCTTGTGCACGAAGGTGCCATGGATCCCAGTCTAGCATTTCCCAGAGAATTGCGGTCTCTAGATGTCTTGGGAACTGTCCTGCTGTCTTGAGGGCCANAGAGAATTGCGGTCTCTAGATGTCTTGGGAACTGTCCTGCTGTCTTGAGGGCCAATCGATATTGGCGTTCAATTTTCAACAAATTGCTCTTACTGTAACGTGAGAGCAGTTGTACCACGCCGTAATCCAGTATGGGTGGGAAGTAGGCAGGCCTGAATGACGGCAAGTTTCACCGTCAGATCCGTCTTGGCGTGCCAACCTATTATAGGGGCCAGCGCACTGCGTGTTCGTCGCGCCTTCTGGACGACGTAATCCGTCTGTTTGCCCATGGTCATGGTCTTGTCTAGGTGTATGCCCAGATATTTTATGCTGTTTTTGTATTCGATTACCTCGCCTTTGATTCGTATGGTTTTGCAGTAGTTTCTTTTATGAGTGAACATGGCACACTCCGTTTTGTCTACGTTATACTTTAGCCCCCAGCGGCGGTAGAAGTTGATGACGGTGTCTGCGGCCCACCCCGCACGTGTCGTCGCGCTGTTTGGGTCGGGAGATCTGTTGATGATGCACAGGTCGTCAGCGTATTGTGAGAGCTTGAGTCCGCGGATGTGGTCTCGTTTGTCCCAAACGTCATGTACATATAGGTTGAAAATGACCGGCCCCAGTATAGAGCCCTGGGGAACTCCATGAGGTACCGGTTTCTCTTTGCCGTTTGTGGTTCTGAAGCGACCGTAGGTTTTTCGACCGCTGAGGTAATTCTCAATTACTTTTATGATGTTATTCGGGACGTCTGCTATTTGAAGCTTCTTCGTTAGACCTTCGTGGTTAATAGAGTCGAAAGCCTTCGAGAGATCTGTCGATACCATGGCCACGCTCTCTTTTGCTTCCAACGCATCCGTTATGAACTTGCCTGTGCGAAGAATCTGAGTGCCTGTACCTCTATGCTTGGTAAAACCGTGTTGGAATGGTGGTTGGAGTCTGTCGGTTGTCTGTCGTAGGCGTGACAGAAGAAGGCGCTTGTTAGAATATATATATCTACACACCTGATTTATATTAATATTCCATGGTAAATATGTATGATTGGTACACTTTTTAACTTGTTAAATAAACACTACACA